TCGTGTTATATCGTTTGATTCTACAATACCTTAATATCTTAAAACCTGTGCTTAAGCAAAGTACACAATTGCCCCTCGCCTCAGTTTTGGCAGCTTGGGCTCACCTCAGCTATAGTGACATTCACATTTTCGTCTCATTTTATGAAAATGGTGCGAATTTGACAATGTCAGGTTTAGCGCAATGCCTACTCTTGCACGATTTGTCCTCAGTTAATTTTTTCCTCCGACACAGTTTTCGGTCACAAAATTCACAGAAACTTCTAACTGAGATCGATAGCAGTTCGAGATGCAGAGTTGAAGCTTGCTTTTTCATGTAGAGCCAGAATTTTTAGGACAGAAATTCCTCGTGGAATGAGTTTGAGGAAAAAGAAATAAGATTTGCTGAAAAATGCATGTTTGCAACGGCTTCGGTTCATCCCACATTCGTCATTTTTCTGAACATTCTAGCCTCTTTGCTTTCACTTTGTCGGTATTTTTCCATTTTGCATGAAGCTGACGCTGAAGTAATATTCAGCTCGCTTTCTCAGTTGTAGCTTACACATTCATTGAAATAGCGAACGAGCATTTGCCAGCCCCTCAATTAGAGGCCTCCATTTCAGTGAGGGTGTTCATATTGTTACTTCCTCCTCTCGACACTTTCCCACTTCTACATTACAACCTTCTAATCTTTTTCAAATGCCCTAAATTTATACTTTTTAAAAAATTCTTCCCATTTCTATCTTCTGCTTTCTTCCTGCCTTCCATTCCCTCTTCTTCTCATCTCTGAACACTGCGACCGTCACACTGACGAGGTCCACTCGCGGTGTTGAGCTAAGACGTATATGACTTCATGGACCGAAACGTCTTAACTCTCTCGTACTTATTTTTCCTTTGCCAGCAATATTTCTACATCTTTCATTCGTTCGATTCCTGCCTTCTTTTTTAAGTTCATATTACTTTCATGCTACAGTCATGTGATAGTCAGATTAACAAAAGTGATAATCAGTCATCATTTGAATATGTGGCTGAATTGTTTCAGAAATGTAAGCTTTATTTTCAAGTCATTCTTTCCAGGTGGCGATTACAATGATTTGGATTCCATCGAGCCGATGACCGAGTCAAGCGATGTCGGAGCCACGTTGATGGCTTCGCATCAGCAGCAGTTACAGCAGCAGCAACAACAACGACAAGCAAATGCTCAGCTGCTGCAGCAGCAGCAACAACAGCAACAACCTCAACAGCCTCAGCAACAGTACTATACTCGTATTATCCCACCTACAAGTCGTTATGACATGCAGCCGCAGGTGCAGCAGCAGAATGTTGGTTACATACGGCAGGTGTGTAGCGGCGACACACAAGTGCGACAGTGTAGTTTTACGACCAACGCACTGCAGCAACAGCAGCAAGTGCAACAACAACAGCAGCAACCTCTTCCTCAAGGCTATGCATCTCCGCAGCAGCAGCAGCAGCAGCAGCCAGCAAATCTGTACATGGCTGCTACACCGGCGCAGTCCAATTGCTCACCGAATCCCTTTACACCTCAGTCTTCTCCACAGAAAGATGGCCAAAACTTTATTGTTAGGCAGCAGCAACAGCAGCAGCGACATATTACAGCAGTCTCGACGGCGCAACAACAACAACAACAGCACTATGCATCGTCACCAATCCCGCAACAACAGCAGCAGCAGCAACAACAGCAACAGCAGTCCGTTCGTACACCGCTGAGTGCACCGCCAACGGTACATTTGCAGCTGTATCCATCCTGCGCTTCCCGAACTGATGACCTGCGATCTTCTCGCTCAGGTTTCTTATTCATTTTACGAATGCTTGTTGCGCACATCGAAAAAGCAGTGTTGGAAAAACCTTAAGAATCAGTAATGGACCATGAAAGTTTAGGGGGGAAGTGATGGTTAGGTTATGGTGTAGCCCAAAATTAGTGAGAGGGAAATGATGAAGACCGGAGGGAGGAGTGGACTTTCTGCTCGTCTGATCAATTTCGGAAAGAGCGGTCGACGGCTTTATGTACTGGTCATTTGTAGGAAAACTCTTTGTCTGTAAAATAAAAGTCACTACGGGCCACAAAGGCCCTGTAGCGGAATGGAAGAGGGTAGTTACCAGGGCCAAGAACAGGACCCATTTAGCGAAGGGTATCGACCGGCAAGGGTCGTCCAACCCTCCATGTAGTAGGAATAGGCAGGGGTTGGACGGTGACCGTTCAGAATCCAGTGAGGTAGTGAAGGACGGCAACACAGTGTTAGTTATAGTAGAAGCCCACGAATGCACTGCTTTGTCGGATAGTTCTGTAAATCTAACAAAACTACCCGAGAAAGCAGTGCATTCATGGGGTTCTATTATAACTAACACTGTGTTGTCGTTCTAGTGTGAAGGAAAAAATTCGGGTTTTTTGCATTCATCTTGTTTGACTAGACAGGTCATTTTAACAGTTTTGGGATGCCGGACAGATCGTTCTGAAAGTGGTTATTGTTTCAGTGTCTAAATTCTTCCCTGGCGTCATTTTTTTCTGGGTGGCGGGGGCACTCAAAATGATAACATACTGCCAACAACAGCCACCAATTAAGAAGGCTTTCGGTGGCTCCCTCTTGTAAAGATGGCTTGGAAGTAACTGCAGTCGACAGTGTATTAATCTTATTGAACTATAAAAGCCCTAGGTGCCAGTCAGCGTTTTTCTAGTTTTTTCCTCATCGCTTGGCTGCTATAATTCTTCACTCATTATCGCTTATTTTCGAAATCCTCATTTCGTATGGTGTTCCTGTTTTTTACCGTGCAGAATTTACTCTGCTAAAATGGCTCGGTTACCTTTCTGTCTTGCTATAGCCGTAGTTTTTCACTAAAAATGGGTATTTTTCAGCAGCCTTCATCAGAACTTATTTGCATCTCTCCCACTTTTTATTAGGGACAGAACAGTTCTCACAAATATAACAACGAGATTGTATATTGCTAGTTTTGCCAGATGCGCTATGCGTTAATCGTCAGTGATCGGTATGTTGTGAATTAATCCGTAAAATGTCTGTGTGTTCAGATGGCGAAACAACACCACGAGCGCCAGCTGCAGAATCCAGCGCACCTGTTGAGTACGAAAAGGATCCCATCATTTCTACAATAGGTTCTCTACGATTTTTTTTTTTTTCAATGAATATAGCGTTTGAGGGTGTACAAGGGTAGTCTTGGTTGTAACGTTTGGATAAAGAAGATGGTCCTTCTTACAAGCAACCGTGGAATTAAGATTTGTCACGCATGAGAATGAAAAAGTATTGGATTGTGATTGGATGAGCACCGACAGCTCGGATATATTCTTCAAATCATCCATTCAGCTTTTGCATTGGAAAAAATTTCCATTTGTTTGGGGCTTGTTGATCCGATTACAAATTTATACTGTGGAGGTTAGAACTGTGAAATTTCTGGACAGTATGTTGACAGTAAACTGCTCGGCAACTGTAGCTTGTTTCTACTTCGGTTCATTTGCTGAACGAGAAAGGAAAGAGGCAAGGTGATTCCTTATCATCCCGAAATGGGGGTATGATTGAGGATGGTGTGGTTGTCAGTATCGAGAAGCTAAATAACTTGCGCTTTGCGGAAGCATGGTTTCCCTCACGAAAAAAGTGAGCTTTGTGCGCGAAGGAAGTGGATTTGAAAATTGACGCCGATGACGAAGATATGCGAGGGATCGGTATGCCCATGGCAAGATTGCAGATGGACGGTATTGACTTGGAAGAAGTTGTCAGCTACGTGATCAGAAAATAAATGTGCGTCACAATCTCCAGCCGTAGATTGAAATGAGCTATCGATTGGGGCAAATTTCACAACAGTAGTCGATATGAGCAAAGTATCGAATCGAGAGGGCCGTTGTAAAACTTCTCAGTATCATTGTGCTGAAAGCAACCACGTGTGGAACCAAAGAAAGTTGAAGATTCACCGTTCTGTGATGACGAAAGCGATGGTGCGGAAGACGCCTGATGTATTCATTGGTTACCAAATAAACAGTCAGACTCTGCACTTGATTGGTGGCATACAGGGTATCATTGCGACCACTCTACAAAGGAAAATCCGACGGCTAGGGCATGTTGTTCGTCTTGCCGACCGGTAGACCTCGTGTTTGGGTGAATGTCGTGAATGGAGTAAACGTATGATCGGCGGCCCGCGAGGGGGTGCTGTACATCGAGAATGTGGTGTGAACCAATTGGAGATGGGCAATTCGAGATCGTTGGCCGGCCACAGCTGCGCCCGGCGTGCGGGAGCATCCCTGTGACATCGTTAACATGAAATACCCACAATATTTGTTGAGGGATCTTAGTATGTTGTCAACTGTGACTTTTTCTTTGTTTAGATGCAGTAGTGATGCGAGCCCTGTCAGATCAGGATAACTTTTCCGCGTCTGGCAGTTCGACTTATTATCGACGAAATCGCTTACTGCTGAATGCACAGCCG